TTTTTTTTTTTTTTTTTTTTTTTTTCTTACCGTTTTAATCATTGTAGGTGTATTCACCTTTCTTCCGTTTTTTTGTTTTGTTTTTGTTTTTTGTTTTTTTTTATATTTATTTATCCTTCTTCCCACTCCCTCACGCTTCACTTGTGCAGACCCGCATCTCTGCAGAGCGAAACCCAACCTTGGCGGTATCCTTGCATTCCTTTCCCCTTCTCTTTTCCACTTCTATCGCTTCCTCCACATTTAATCTCTTCTCATTCTTATCATTCTTCTTATTACTGTTCTTCTTATTACTGTTCTTCTTTGTATTTCTCCTTCTCTGTGGAGATGTGGGCTCCAGCGATATGCGGGAAATGATGCCGGCGCTCTTCTCCCACGTCATGCCGTGCAGCCACGGGTGCTGCAATAGTGCCGTTGCCGTCAACTCCACAGATGCCTGTGCAGATGAGGCGGAGGATGTTGACAACGTCAATCGTGGCACCTCTTCATCATCTTCACTCTCTTCTTCTTCTTCTTCTTGTAATTGTAATTGTAATTGTTGTTGAGGGGGAGTGACGGCGTGGAGAAAGTCTTGTTGGGCAGTTGGAGAGGAGGAACAGAGAGTATCCATAGTGGGGAAACTCACCGTTGAGGGGATAGTGGAATGGTGTTTAAAAGGTACCGCTGTATTCTTATCACCATTAATCTTATGATGAGGATTGGTATTTGAATTGGTATTGGCATTAGCAGCATTACCACTATAGTTACTAGTAATACTGGTAATGGTACTGTCATGATTACTACTGTCACTATTATTATTATTATTATTATTATTATTATTATTATTATTATTATTATTATTATTATTAGTATTATTATTAGTATTATTATCGCTATCATTATTATCATTATTATTATTATTATTAGTAGTAGTACTAGTCCTATTAGGATTATGATTAAAAGCCGTAACGTCAGTAGTAACAGTGTAAAAAGGACATCCATGGTCATTCTCATCATCTCTCTCTTTTTCATTCTCATTACAGCCAATGTGTGAAGATACTCCATTGGGCTGCTGTGAAAATGTCTGTGCACACGATCGCACAGAGTCCGCATACTCCGATAACGAGATGGGAGTAAGTCGTTCTCTTCCTTTATGTACAGCAGGCATTAGAACCGCCACAAAGTCCTGAAATGCAGTGGAAAACATTCCTGTATTGGAGGAGGCATCATCACTACACTTACTCTTCTCATCTGCACTGTTATCATCACTCTCATCATCATGTAAAGGATGTCTATCATTACGGTCCTCATCGCTATCATCGTTTTCATTTTCATCATCTTCTTCACTATCATTTTCCTCATCATTTTCTTCATCTTCTTCTTCTTCATCATCATCACCGCTTTCATACTGTGGTATTCCAGGAGGGAGTCGCGGTGGTTGTGTGCGAAATCCAGCAATTGTAAAAATATTCGGTGTGAATGGTAATTTCCCCAATGCCAATTGCAGTAGTGAGATGCCAAGACTCCAAAAGTCACTTTCGCGTCCATACACAGAGTCTGCATCTACACGAGCAGGAGACATATACGCTAATGTACCCACAAAAGTCCCACACTGATCAAATCCCATACTTTGTAATTGATTAGATGAGAGACCAAAGTCTGTTAATTTCACGGCACCTGTACTGCGGTTAAGAAGAATATTATGTGGCTTGAGATCACGGTGTAATTGGCGAATGGTATCATGTAAATAGCGTAAACCGTGTAATACCTGAAATGTAATCGCACAGCACTCTGTCTCATTAAATCCACAACCACGACGTGCATTCAATGCATCTATAATACTTCCACTGTCCATAAGTTCCATTACAATAAATGCACATCCTCCTTCAATAAACATATCATAACAACGCACAACCGCACGTGCATCTTCACAATCACTATCATCTGTCATTTCATCTTGATAACGTTCCGTCTCTTCCTCCATATCTGTATGTTCATCATTGGCAATAAGACGTCTACAAGGACAAGGAGTGATATTCCTTCCTATATTGGGACCACATCTTCTGTTAGTGATACTGTTCGTATTACTGGTAGTGTTACTCATGATATTACTGTTACTGTTGCTATTACTGTTGTTGAATAATATATTACGTCGAAGTACGGAAAGTTCATTTTCCACATGTTGTCTGGAATGCTCTGTAATGTAGATACGTTTAACGGCTACTAATTCTCCTGTATCAAGTCTCGGCATGGCGAATAATTCCCCACTTGATCCACGACCAATTCGTGTCATATTATCTATTGTTTCCACAGCAATAATTCGTGATTGTGAACTACTCAAATGTTGAATATTGGGAGTACTGGCACTGGCCTCTGCTGAGAAAACAAGAGGTGAAAAGAGAACATTAGTTGAACTATCACGTAAACTCATACAAGCGGTATTCATTTGCGAATGTTCAAGTTCAAACCGTATCATTCGTTTATACACATCATCTGCTGATGGCATTCCTGTTCGCATGCGACTGTGTAAATAAAGACAAAGTAAACTTGGAAACCATCGCCTTCTTTCACGTGAAGGGTTTTCAAAAACATCATTATTTTCATTCCCTGGTTTAACAGTATAGACGTTATCACATAAAGGGAAATCAGAAGATGTAACAGATGACTGGTTTAATGAAAATGAAGTTATAGATGCACCTTCTGTGGATTGTTCACGTATAGTTGCACAAGCCGTAGAGATATTTTCACCAAGTAAAGCTGCCAATGTTCGCCATGAGATAGTCGACTGTTGCACATTCCTTAATAAATCCATAAGAAGCATTCGATCAGAAGAAGAACGCATTACCTCATCATTCTTGTAATCACATATACCACCTTCAAAACTGATAATGTGTGAAATTCCATGCGTTTGTGGTCCTTGTTCACATATCGATCCATTACCGTCTTTTTCATTCACCATCGTTGTTGTAGACATTGTTGCTGACATCATATCATTTCCAAACGATGTGGATAGTGGTATTACGTATGGATGGGCGACATGTTGTCGAAGGAGGGCGGCGGCTACGGCGAAGACTTGATCATCTTCCGTGGGATGTTCCGTAAAGAAGGAACGCAGTGCACTGGATGTATGTTCACGATTGGCATTTGTCAGTGATGCTGGTTCTGTAAAGCCAACGCCGCTATCATTAAATATTTTCCCTTCATAGTGAGAACGTAAACGACTGGTTCGACTTGCATTTCCACTTCCACTTCCACCTGCATTTGTATTTGTATGGGCATTCCAATCCACGGAGGAATCTCCATTAGTGGATTGATATCGACCCGGATGTCGTGCGTGGAATTGACGGAGTACATGCCGTACAAGTTGCTCCAACACGGTATCTTCCGATTCACATTCCATTGTACTTCCCATTTGACTTGTTTGCCGCATAATGGCACTTTGAGAGATGGTGGAGTGTTCCGTCTCGGTATCATCAAGGGGAATGCCTTCTGTTAAGACTCCACATCCTTCTGTGATGCCCATCTCATCTAATAAGGCCCGTACGAGGGATTTACTTGTAACGGAGTGGGCGGTGCGGGGAAAGGCTGTATTGAAGGCGGGAATAATATCCGGGGCGCGTTTTTTATAAGCGCGGAAGACAAATTGTCGGAGAAGTGCATTGGCGAGTTCCATTTCTTGTTGATGAGGTTGGAGTAGGAAGAAGTCCATGACTTTGGTGCGTCTATCCGACTTATCCCCCAGTTGGACACTTGCAAACCGGTTGGTTTGGGGCAATACGATGTGATCCAACTCTACACTGCCGTTGTTATTATTATTATTATTATTATTATTATTATTACCGCAGCGAATACTTCCCTCTAGAGGAGAGGGGACATGACGGGTTTCATCAAAAAGGGACTCTTCTAGAAATAATTGGACAGCTCTGGATTTCATTAACTTCACGTGTGTACTTTTGTTTGTTTTTTTCTGTTTCTGTTTCTTTCTTTTGCTACTGCTCTTCTTCTTGCTGTTATTATTTTTATGACTGGTGTGATTGTTGCTATTTGGGTGTTTCTTCTTCTCTTTCTTTCACACACACACACAGATATATATATATATATATATATATA